GGGGGGTTAAGGGGGTAGGAGAAGAGTAAATGAAACAAGATGGGATTGGGAGGGAGACAAACCATAAGTGACTCTTAATCTCACAAAACAAACTGAGGGTTGATGGGGGGAGGGGGGTTGGGGGGGTGGGATTATGGACATTGTGGAGGGTATGTGCTATGGTGAGTGCTGTGAAGTGTGTAAACCTGGCGATTCACAGACCTGTACCCCTGGGGATAAAAATATATGTTTATAAAAAATAAAATTAAAAAAAAAAAAACTCTGTGTTCAAAATTCAATTTGATATTCCTGGGGTTCTATTGCAGCATTTCCACCTGCAAGAATCCCTCCCTTGTGAGGACTGTTCCAACAAACTTGTTTGCTAACAGAACCCACAGGGAACGTTAGCAACCCAGCACTGAGCTGCTCCAGCCCTGGGGGTGCCCTGAACTGAGACCCGAGCTCTTGGGGGCGGCGGGGTAGGGAGTGATTCTGAACACCAGGCATGGGGCCAAAAGTACATCAAACCCATTTTCATTTGGAGATTTTTGACTGGCTTTGTTGAATGAAATTTTACTTTAAATCGGAGGCTGCTATTACACTTTTAGAAACAGTCTGGAACAGGCAGTGGAACAAATGCTCCTAAGTCTGGGGCAGCTTTGTGGATCTCCACCCTGCCTTCGAAGGCCTGGCTCCCGCAAGCCCAGGGCCTTGGCACCGAGGACCATTTCACTAGTGCTGGGTGATCGGTGCATCAACTCTTCTGATCTGTAAAACATGACGTGACTTTGGTAATTCCCCAGGCTTTCTTGCCTTAGTCCCTGTTGCCTCCGTTTACACGAGCCATAGATAGCTGTCGAAATGGAAGAAAGAAAGCTCATCAGGGAGTTTTCCCTTAGTTTTGATGAAATGTAAAAATATACCTGAGTCAGCCATTCCATGTTTGCTTATTAGCGTCTTGGTTTGTTTGCTTTTAAGTTTCCATTTTCTTAATTTCACTTCTGCTGAAGGATAATGATAATATTGGAGTTGTAATTTGCTGTCAGCTCTGCTATCAGAAGAAAAGCAAGAATGAAATTATTCCCCACAAAGGAAGACTTCACTCTCTTGGTATCAAAACCTGAGAAGTATTCAAGGCCTACAAGGCCTTTATTTGTTCCTTGGAACCGAAACTGTATTTCAGCAGAAGTAGTCCAATCAGAATTTCACTCATTAATTATCAAATATTTATTTCTAAATTATAGCATCAACCCACAAGAACAAAAACTCACAAGTGGCCCAGAAAAATGGTTTGGTCTCTCTTGGAGAAGAAAAATGTCTTTGCCACCAGGGCAAGGAATCTGTTATTCTGTGTAGCTTTCAGAAAAGAGGTCACACATTTTCTTATTGATTTTACTTCCCATTTGGTAGCAAAATAATGTGAGAAGAGGCAGTACACACATTCCGGGCAACAAGCCCAGATGTTGAAAAATACGTGTCGGGATATTTCTGAATCCCATCTTTTTCCCAGAGATTTCATAGCGGATGAGGCTTGGTGCCCTACATCATTGGGGACACAGGCACACTTTAGGAGGGAGTTTTCTGACAACACACGGCTAACAAACACACCAGTTGGGTTCCCGCTGTGTGCTTAGAATTCCCTAGTAGTCCGGTCCCACAGCCGGGTGGCTCTAGCCAGCGGCTCCTGGGATTCAGACGCCAACAAGCAGACCACAGGTGAAGAGCCATGCCCCCTATTCACCCTTGTTTGTACAAGGAGGTGAGGAAAGGGGTTATTCCATTCTAACGAAGGTTAGAAGAGTAAAGAGGGAATTTTACAGAGCTGCACTAAATTCTTCCCCTAAAATGAATAATACGGTAGATATTAAATAAATGGAAGTTAAATAAAAAGTAAAAGAACTGCAGTGTGGTTGACTTGATCTGAAGCATACCCCTGTGTTCTCAGGCAACATCAGAAATACCGAGAAGCTGAGCTACGACAAGCAACACCAGTATGAGATCCTGGTGACCGCCTACGACTGTGGACAGAAGCCCGCTGCTCAGGACACACTGGTGCAGGTGGACGTGAAGCCAGTTTGCAAACCTGGCTGGCAAGGTGGGCCCTCTCTTGTCGATCCCGTTGAGTGAGGGCAGCTTGGCTGGGTGTGTGGAAAATACTAGACCTGTCCTAACAACCATCACAACATATAGCTAGAGGACTTTCTTTAAGTGTGGTCACTCTGCCACAAGAATCTGCTGTTGATTCTTACAACTCCTAGGGGATGTATTACCCTCATTTTACAGCTGAGAACGTCCGAGGGCACTCGTCCATGGTCACGTGCCCCATTTGTCCAGTGCACCCTTTCTAAAATCTCATGACACTTTGGAATCAATAGTAATTATCGCTCAGTGCTCAGGAGAAAGTGCCAGCAAGCCTCTTCACTTTATCTAAGGGAATGAGTCTAGCTAGTATGCCTCAGGTTTGCAGCATCACTCTGGACCTGGGGCAGGTTGTCCTGTTCTCTGGGCTGGCACCAAAGGTGTACAAGCAGAGGCTAGGGTCCCAGAACCCAGCCTTTGATGAAGGAGTTTCTCAAATGTTGGTTCTGGGAATGGAGAAGCTGTGGTCTTGGAGGGAGGTGGATTTTTGTCATGGTGTGTAGATATTTTGGTGTGCAAAGACAGAGCAGTTGCTTGGGGCCCCCCAAGGTGACAGAGATGTGGCACTGACCTAAGGGAAATAAGATGAGGCCAGCTGTGCAGAGGGATCTTGCAGAGAACTGGATGGTTTATGGAATAATGATAGCTCTCACAGTGGGGTGAATATTCCAGTGGTCAGGCAGGAAGGCTGGAGGTACCTCTGCCCCTGTTTTGGTGGCTTAGCCCCTGCTGTTTCGGCTTCCTGTGTGACTGCCACCTACTTAAAACTTAGGGCGTTTCTTGGAGTCTCCATTTTGTGGCTTTGTCTACTGTCTTCTCTTCATTTGTCTTGAAGCTTCAGGCCCCTGTTATGGTCTCCCTGTTTTTCTTTCTCTCTGTATATTTCATTCTTAAACTGCACGTCATTAGCCAGGTTCAGCATCTGAATTTCTATCAGACAGACTGATGCCAGGGTACCACCATAGGTCACCATCAGACTTGGAATGGCTGCTTGTGAGTCATGCATTGGTTCTGGGGGCACAAAGCAAGGACACCTGAGGACCCACCTGGGGTCACTCTCCTCAGAAGGTGGTTCTCCAAGGGCCCCTCCCCTGAACCACGTTATCGCCCTTAATCTTTCAACTAGAAAAATGGGAGGCAATAATTAAACCCACCTCTGGAGAGAGCCAGAGATGTTTGCCTTTGAACAAAGTGGAGGAGATGAAATGCCCAGTCAAGGAGTCACAGGTAAGACAGACGAGACATAAAGAAAAAAGTATAGAGCCCTCTTTGAAACGCTCTTCAAGATCAAGCAAGAGACAGAGAAAAAGGAACAAGCCTGAGTGGGGAACTATGTGGCACCAGCCTGGGGAGCCTGGTCTCTCATTGGTATAATTCACTAAACCCTATGGAACCTGAGGGCAGGACTCTGTCTCTCTTGTTCACAGCTGAATTTCTCCGGCTTAGCACATATCCAACCCCAGTGATCAGTTCTCAAGAGATAGCCTTTGAATGAATGAATGCCTGAATGAAAAGCTGTTAGAGGAAAGAAGTACTCAGCTTGTTTTATTTTAACTTATAAGGACTAAGCCAGTGAAAGTCTAGCTTTTGAAAAGAAAGCCTAGAAAGAATATAAAAGCCTTCTAAGCAGGGCACATGCTCATAATGGGATTTTTCAGTGGGGAAAGTAAAACACTAAGCTATATCTGGAGAAAGATCCCAATGTTTTGTATCTTTGATAAATGAGACACCTACAGAGTTGGGATTACATTTTTGTACCTATATTTAAATGCAGTTTCCTAACGGAGTTTGTACTCGCTTCCCTGTTAAATGTGAGCAAAAAAAAAAAATCATGTTAATGACTTGGAGTTGTGTGTGTGCAGCCTGTGTGGGGCACCTAACCCTCTGGGACATGGTGCTATCTGTGGCCTGACAGTGAGCTCCTGGAGGCGAAGGTCATGCCTGTCTGCTGTGGCTCCAGTGCCCAGCACAGGGCTGGGCGCCATGTGGGTGGGTGGGTGGCAGGAGCTAGATGGATGAATGAATGGTGAAAAGTGTGCCTTTCTGTGGCAGGAAGAGAGAGGGGAGCAGCAATTCCCTGTATCCGTTCACTGTGTCAGATCACACCATTCAAGCACGTGTAACATCAGAATCACCTACTCCATGGGGCCTTCCCTGCCTAGTGTGCGAGGCTTTGGCGGCAGAAGCTGACATGGGATTCTGCGCCGTGCCTCTCCTCCCTCCAGCATAGGCCCTATGGAAGCCGTTAGGTCTCTCTCCCCACCTTCATCCCAGCAGGCTCTCAGACTGTAGGCAGGTCATCCAGGTTCTCTGATACACATAGCAGTGTATGATACACTGTCTTCCAGCAAGTTCTGTCCCAGCCCCTAGAGCCAGAGAATGGTCCTCTCCTTCTAGTAAGTGGGCCCACTTTATTCCTGCCCGTGGGCAGCCCTCCTCTCCAGCTCACCCATCTTGCAGCTTGTCCTCTCTTCTACCCCAGGTCAGGGCTGCAGCCTCATAGCTTGAAGTGTGCCTTTCTCCACAGAAAAGCAAACCACCCCGGCCCCTAGTGTATGTCTCTCATCAAATCTCCTCTCCCAGCTGGAGTGTGTCATGTTTTGCTGGTTTTCCTTTCTAACCACAGATGAAACAGGCTGCCCCTCCCCCTGAGAGGTTGTCAGGTCCCTAGGGGAAGGGCAGGCTCTTCTTGAACTGGGCACAGGGTGAAGCCTACACTGTACAGAGGAGTATAAGGAAGCCAGTCTGGTTTGCAGAGATGGCTGACCGTGGGGAACGAGGAGCAAGGCTGGAGAGGCCAGAGTTAGGGGAGGGCCTGCGGTCAATAATTTGAATGCCAGGGTCAGGAGCTGCCACGGTCCCAGCCCATAAGACCCAGCCATGAGTAAGGGGTCGACAGGTATATGCCTGGAGCAGAGACTCCTCCCTGAGCTGATTTCCCGCAAACAATAAGAGCCACCAAGCAAACACAGTTTGGCACTTCAAATTCTTGTACCTGTTCCTAGTCATTTCCCTCCAGGCAGGAGGGGATTGCAGCGCAGTGCGAGCAATCCATCATGCTCACGAGTGTCCTTTCCCCGGGGAGCTCTCCCAGTCAGCACCATCAGCCCCTGTGGCCCTCAGAGCTCCCAGCAGCCATCCTGGAGGAGGAAGGGACCCTGCTCACAGCTGGAGCCTCCTCTGCCTTCCCACGCTGATGACAGACTGCTCCCAGACTCCTGAGGTGCCCCAGGGCAAGGCCTGTTTCCCATCACAACAATCCCTTCCAGAGCAGGGGTGTGGGGGGAAGAGTTTGCAGCTTTCCCAGCATGCTGCTGGCCTTACTCAACTGTGCACAAGGACATCACGGACCCTGGCTCTGTGGCCATCTGCCCTTCAGACCTCAGCCAAGACATTGTCTCCTTGGGCTAGGATTTTCTACTCTCCGTCTTTTTCTGTGGCTGGGCCTTGTCTTCCCTGAAATGATATGAGTTCGGTTCTCTCTGCTGTATTCTGAAATTGTAAGTTTGAACAGGTGGTAGGGGTCAACTCACAACACAGGGGTTGTGGAGTTTTGCCCAAGGGAATGTCACTCCTATTCTCAGCTGCCCAGAGAAGACAGCACCCTCTAGACCTTTGTGAGTAGAAGGGAGAACGAAATCTCTGTGTTTTGTCCTGAGCGTTGACAATCATGGTATTCCTCTAGCAGCTTACTATGACAATAGAAGATTCTATTGGGAAGCAGGAAAAAGGTGAACCTGCCGTAGAGCTACATGCCAAGGCTGGCCTGTGCCCTGCCTCCTCTGCCAGATATTTGTAGTCTTCGTGGTGTCTGTTTCCCTCTCGCCAAGCAGTTATATGTGCACGAGCCTGGGCCTGTGTAGGGGCTGGGGACTTCGGGAAGAATCCGCACCTGTTCAGGGATCAGAGCCCCAGAGAAGGTGTAGTGCCGCCAGAGGCCATCAGGATGGCAACTGATCCAGGGAGAGCTGACCCAGTGGATCCCTCCTTCTAGGGGCCACAGAAATCATTTGTAATTTGGTTGCTGATACGGGTTTTGTGTGTTTGTTTATACGTTATGTTATGTTGAGAAACACACCCCCTCTTTATGTCTTCTTTTATTGTCCTTTATAATCCCATAGCCCATCTCTTCCTACATGGCAAGCTGAAAACATTGTTTTCAGAACACTGACTCAGTGTATTTTCCCTTTTATTATTGCACGTCCGATTCTGGATCTGTTATCTGCTTCCATCAGTAGGGACGCAGAGTTCAGTATTTCATATTTCATATTTCCTTTATGGAAACAGTTTCGCTCTGGAGAGAGCCACTGCCGACTACCGGAGTGGCCCGTCCCCATTTCTCTCCCAGACATGTTGCTGACCAGGTATGTCCATGTTCTGGATCCAGAGCCCCCAGGTCAGATTGGGTTTGCAGACTCCGCCCCCACAGGACCCCATCTCTGCTTGCCCCCATCATCACTGAGGAAAAGCCCACAGCGGTCAATGGCCCTTCTCCCAGCACCTATTCCCTGGGCTTGAAGAATTCTCCAGGTGCCTCAGACAGTCTCAGTGTTTCCGGGATCCCACAATGAGGCCTTGGTCAGGGAGGAGGGGTGGTATCAAATAGGGCAGAATGGGCCCAGTAGCACCTGGGCACTGGGGTAAAACACAGATCTGACTTCAGCAGTCTGGGGCGCCTTGGGATGCTGCTGGTCCATGGCCTTCACATTGAACAAGAAGGTCACTCAGAAAATATTTACTGAACACCTAGAGTGTCTAGGACTTTTGTGTGGAAAGGACAGCAGCAGGAAAATTGCTGGTGGAGATTAATTCTCCCTTAGTTATTTGCGTTGTGAGATAGCAGGAGTTGACACATATGCCACGTGGCGAGAGACGTTGCTGAGTGAATTCGCTCACCCTTTCCCGAGTCCCACTGTGTGCTCACAGCTGGGGGTGCACAGGCAGACATGACCTATG